GCTCATCTTCTTGTCCGCACGCACCTCCCATGCCTCACCCTTCTGTCAGTCCCTACATTGGCTTCCTATAAAATATAGAGCTCAATTTAAAATTCTGGTTCTTGCTTTCAAATCGCTACATAATGCTGCTCCCACCTATCTATCCACCCATTGTAAAGCGCTGCGGAATTTGATGGCGCTATATAAATATAATAATAATAATAATAATAATATAGCGCTATGGAATTTGCATCTCTGTGTGTGTCATTGTATGTGTATGTGTGTCTGTGTATCTCTATGTGTGTCATTGTGTATGTCTATGTATCTCTACGTGTGTCATTGTATGTATTTGTATGTGTGTCATTGTGTGTATCTGTGTGTCTGTGTACCTGCATTTGTGTCATTGTTTTCATCTGGTTGTCTGTATATATGCATGTCTGTCAGTTTTTATGTATCTGTGTATCTGCATTTGTGTCAGTGTGTATATCTGTGTCTGTGTATCTCTATGTGTGTCATTGTGTATGTATGTCAGTGTGTGTATCTGTGTATCTACATGTGTTTCAGTGTGTGTCTGTGCATCTTTATGTATGTCAGTGTGTGTATCTGTATGTCTGTGTATCTGCATGTGTGTCAGTGTGTGCCATTAAGTGTCTGTGTATATGCACAGGTGTCACTGTGTGTATCTGTGTGCCTGTGTAGCTGTATGTAGGCCCATTAGCCCTTTTTATCAGGACCTAGGGGTATAGCATCCCAACGGTCACACATCCCCGTGGGTTGCATGAACCCAACCCTGTGTTTATACATGTCACATATCCTGTTATACTGACTGGGCAAGTTTAAAAGCAAGGGGGTTTCCATTGTTTCATTCAAGACCCAGATGAATAAGGTGCCCCCCTACTTGTGACCCTGGAGCCACAGGTGGTACCATAACCTGGGTGCATTATACAGGGGTGCTCCATGTTACTCAATATCGAGCTGCCCACAGTTGGGCTACCCCCAATATTTACTGAGCCTCTCTTTTTCGTGCAAGGCACGATATGCATCTCCTGCTCCATGTCCCACTTCGTAATATGATGCTCGGTCTACACTGTTAGAGTGACAGGTTTTCTATGGCAAACTGGAGGCTTTATTTTGCCATCCACAAAGCCCAGTGAACACAAAGGGTTAATCACCCTTCGGGGCTTTATTTACTTTTTGTGCGTGTAACCAATGACCAGATAAAACATATGAAGGGGGCGTGACTCAACTTCTCGGTCCGAATTTGGCGGGAACTGAAAGTGCACGCCCCCTTATCTCATTGGTGTGTGGCACATTTTAAAAAATCAGCTTTTTCAGGGCACATTCAGCTATTTTTCCTCTGATGAAGGCGCTGTAGGAAGCACCGAAACGCATGTCAGGCTATAGTCTATCAGGTAGATAGGCTCAACTTTATGTATTTTTGCTCTGTAGCTAGATAGTACTACTAGGTTTACGTATAAGTTCCTCGGTGGATGGTGGGGGCAGGCATGCGGGTTTGCCGTCTGAGATAGTTTTTGGTTTTTCCTTCTATTTCTCCCTATTCGTCACCCACACGTACTTAGTAGACCGAACTGACCTTGGTAGCTGTCTTTAATCATTTAGTTTACGTAACTTTATCCACTCTCCGAGATAGCATTTTGTAGCCATATTTGTGCTATAGCTCAGCATCGGTAGCATGCCTTAGTGACTGAGGGCGTGCATTACCAGAGTATTCAGCTACTAGACTCAATGTTATACTATCCCCATTCGGCACGAGTTGCTCGTCTATTTGCTACTTTGTTTATGTTACGCTGAGTAGAGATACAGTTACCTTTCAGCATCCCTTCGAGTGCAATATCAAATAGATATATTATAGCTAACTAAGGTCATTATATGGTTAATTTCTGTAATCTGGGGCACGCAGTTGCCTCAATAGCCCGCTCTTAACTGATCAAGAGTGAGTTTTTTGAGTTATAAGAACCACAGCACACTTTAGTGTTTTTCTTCTTTTCTTTATTTTTGAGCTACAGACATTTGCATAGGAGTTGCCCTTGCTACATTTGGCAGATTACCTTCCAACTAACTGGGCAACCCTTACTCATAGGACTGGCCCTATGTGCCTCTCCAGCCTGTCTTACCATTTCTTTTAATTTTTTCTTTCTCCTTTGGTTGTATGTTTGTCTTTCACAAGCTTCAAACTTTAGATTCTTTAATAGATCAATAAAAGTAAATTTTTAGCATTAATCATTCAGGTTTGAGGGACGTCCCACTTTTTGACCTCTAGGGCTGTTGTGCTCTCAGGGTCTTTCTTTTCTTTAGTATCTGTATTTATGCCAATGTTTATATATTTGTATCTGTGTATCTGCATGTTTGTCGGTGTGTGCATCTGTATGTCTGTGTGTTTTTATGGGTGTGTGTGTGTATTTGTATCAGTGGGTTTGTGTGGCAGTGTATTTGTGTATGTGAACACATTCCAGCATTCAAATGCCAACACTACATACAAATACACCCCTGCAGTCAAATATTAACATTACATACGAACACACCCCTACATTCGAACATCGTTGCTACAAGCAAACATACCCTCATATTAAAACACCACAATTAAATATAAACACATCCCCGAATTAACAAAAACAACATTTAGTTAATGTAATGAAGTGGGTGGGCATAATGTTATCCTATTCCACTACATTAGAGCTCTAATGAAATAATTAAGCAGTGGGGACAAAGTGTTACCCATGCCCCCACGCATTTGTCAACAGGTGGGATCTATAATTAAAACAAGTGGGGGTCTTAGTGTTCCGCTTGCACCAACAAATGGTCAGTGGGAGGGGATGTAAGTAAAATAGATGGGGAGATTTAATGCCCCTCCAAGCCCACTCATGGTCAGTGGGTGGGGGTTTAAATTACTAGAACACCCAGGGAGCACCTAATGTCCATCCCGAGAAATTACCGATAGGCGGCGGATTGGAACTCTAATTTTAATAAACCTGGAAAGCCTGATGTCCCTCTCCAGCTCCACCCATAGGCGGTTGCTTGAGTATTAATAGCAATAACAAATGTGGAGTCCTAATGTCCCCCCAAGCTTCCACCAATGGGAGGGGTGGAGAATAAAATTAAACATAAAATGGAGTGGACATGTCATTTTCAATGTCCCCCAAAATGATGTCCACCACTAGGTAGATAGGGTTCCCTGAGTTCCTAGTCAGTACCCACCAATAAAAGAAAATCTGTCTACTCCTTTCACACTTATACCAGTGAGTGGTCCAAATTAATACTAATTCATATAAAAAATTATTATCATTACATGTCTTCTTCAAATTCTTTTTTTTTCGGTACCCAAAAATAGACGAACCCCAAAAGAAGACCAAACAAGAAAACAATAAGACCTATCACAACTTAAAAAAGACGAAAAAAGAGAAAAAAAAAACGCCAAAAAGTAATCCAACTTTGCCCATTGATGGCTCCGAACAGACTGAGTTGCATTGAGAAAAAAGACCTTATAGGGGCTTTCCCCACTCTATACACTTTCACTTGGAGCGCTCTGATTGTTTGGCTTGTAACCAATCTAAGTGTTCTAACAGTCGTCAGCATCAACAGGCATCTTTGCAAACATTTTGCCTTGTTTGAATAGCAACTAACTTTGTGCAAGTAATTTGTGAATGTATAAACTGATCACTCAACATTACAATATAAATTCAGTGTTCACATCTATAAACTTGCAGGCAGGGCTGCCAATAGAAATTTTGGGGCACCTGACACAGCTCAAGATCTGGACCCTCGGGCCCCGATCCTGAGTCCACCCCCAGGGCCTGTCCCGAGTCTGCCAACAAGGATGAAGTGTGTGTGTGTACTGAATGTTGGGTGTGTATAGTGGATGTAGAATGTATGTAGTGAATGCGGTGTGTGTGTCATGGATGCAGTGTGTATAGTGGATGCAGATTGTACGTTTTGTGTAATGTATGTAATGTTTGTATGCATTAGATGCAGAGTGTGTGTAGTGAATGTAGATGTGTATAGTAAAGGCAGAGTGTGTGTTTGTGTTGTGGATGTAGTGTGTGTATAGTGAATGCAGAGTGTGTATAGTAAATGTAGTGTGTGTATAGTGAATGTAGTGCGTTTGTAGTGAATTCCGAGTGTGTGTATAGTGAACAAAGGAAATATCCACGGTAGAAAGCCCTGTGTTTAGAGCCTATACCACCAAAAGGCTCTATACAATGTGAGTTTTACTTACACTTACCTAAATATATAACTAATCTGTAATTTACTCAAACAAAATTGCACTACTTGTGTATATTTATTTTTTGTCTTCTTACATGTCAACAACCACCTATATACATTGAGAGGTAAGTGATTTAAAATACTATTAGCGGGGGCCTGGCTTAGCGCTCGAGCGGCACGGTCGCATGCCGGCGTAGCTCCCGCCACTCAAGACACAAGGGGCACTAAAACAACCGGGCTACCGAGCGCCAGCAACAACAAGACGGCAGACAAACATCCACCATGTCCCAGAGATTAAAAACTAAGCCAACAAAGGCGGACAAAGCGTCCTTTTTCCAGGTAAAAGCCACACCGCAAAAAGCGCGGGAAGACGCCGAACAAGATGGCGGCCCGCACGATCGCGGGAGGGCTCTCCTACATCCCCAGCCTCCCCAGAAACAAATACTGAGGACCAGCCACTCACAGTGGCAACTATGAGGGGTGTGATGGCAGAGCTCACAAATACAGTACAGAGGAGCCTTAAGGCTCAAATGCTGACACTGACAACCGAACTTAGGAAAGACCTGCAGGACATGGGGACCAGCAATGCGCATCTAGAATCTAAGATGGATGATTTTTCCACGGCTCATAACAGTGTGGCTGACAAAATGCAAGAACTGGAAGACGTCATTACAGCTCAAAAACTCAAGCTAGCAGACCTGGAATATAGGTCTAGGAGGAACAACCTCCGATTTAGAGGGATACCAGAATCAGTAACAAATGCTGACCTAGAAACGTATTTGCAAGACATGTTCCAACAGATGACCCCCGAACTGCACCCGGACCAACTGCTGCTGGACAGAGCGCATCGTCTCAGGAGACCTAGCCATCTACCCAATACGGCAGCGAGAGTACACTTCTCCCATGCCAAAGAAAGAATTATCAAGGCAAGCAGAAATAGAGGGATGCCAGAGAAATTCTCCAACATCAAAATCTTCTCCGACCTCTCGGCAGAGACCTTACAATACTGCAAATCTGCGGCACAAATCACGCTATCACTGCGCAATCAAGGAGTAAACTGCAGGTGGGGATATCCAGCCAAGCTGCTAATTTACCACGAAGACTCCCTCCACTCCATCGCATCAGCGTCGCAAGGCATAAAGCTGCTCAGAGACTGGGGAATCCCGCTGGCAGAGCTACCAAAAACAGGTCTAACGAAAGTTCCCCGCCTGGCCCAGGATTGGGCATTCCCGCTAAAGAGACTACATAACCGTGCGGTATACGTAAGATACATAACCAAATTGTCAGTTATCTTGTTGTATTTATTACTACGTTAATCCGTATTTTCTTATCTTAATGTTACACTTGGGACGCACGTGGGTAAATGCCGGGGCCCCCCGATCTCCTCCCATGCCGACTAGACAGGCACCCAACGAGATATATTCTCGGTTAGACCACGACACTGCCCAAACACCAAAGGTTGGGGAGTCGGGACACCGAAGGCCCACAGGCATAGAGGTTAAAGGAAAGAGAGAAAAAAAAAAAAACAGCCATGCAACGCAGGCTAACTACACCAGCACCCATGGTGCCCCAGCGTGTGCTCATCACAGGGACGCACTCCTCAACGGAAGTCCCAACTCCACCACCCCCCTAGACTGCGTTAAAGGTTGACCTTACCCCGTCCCCCTCTTGCCTCCATATCATTTCTTGCAACAGACATCCACACCGAACTGTCACACAAAGGCACCCACCGAAATATTGTGTGTAAGGAAGAGAGCATAATTCTACAGACACAGGTACCATCACTAGTGTCACCAAACACAACCACACCAATATGAGAATAGTGTCTTATAATGTTAAAGGATTAAAATCCCCGGGGAAACGCAGATTGCTTTTACAAGACCTTAAGAAAAACTCGGTAGATATCGCATGCCTACAAGAAACGCACTTTAGACACCCCATAGCCCCATCTCTTTTCACAAAACTATACCCCATACAGTATCATGCCCTATCAGAGATGAAGACAAAAGGGGTTGCCATCTTACTGCATAAAGACATCGCCTTCACACTGCAAAGCAGTTACATAGATCCTAAAGGGAGATACATCATAGTGGTAGGGCTCTTCAATAATACACAATATACCATAGGCGCAGCGTACTTCCCGAATGACAATCAAGCCTCTTTTCTCAAAGCACTTCTGTCCAAACTAGATACATTCAAACAAGGAGGGCTCATACTGGGTGGAGATTTTAACTTCATCCAGTCCCTCACCTTAGATACTACTGCTTTGCCACAGGGAAAGCGCAAAAATGGGACCCAAGCCCTCTGCAAAACTCTCACCAACACCTTGACCTTGTACAATTTATATGATAGCTGGCGAACACTACACCCTACAGAGCGGGATTACACTTTCTACTCAAGGGTCCACAACACATACACACGTATAGACACATTCTTCATAGATAACAAGACCCTGCCGCAATTGACAGACTGTAGGATAGGAGAGATAACTTGGTCAGATCACAGTCCAATCTATCTTGACTTGGAAGATACATATCAATCCCGAGGCAGGGGCACATGGAGACTAAATGAGTCCCTCCTACTAGATAAACCGTTCGTAGAACGCATGAAGATAGAACTCAGTGAATATTTCCATGCTAATACAACAGGCGAGGTCACAGACTATACAGTGTGGTCCGCACATAAAGCGGTGATAAGGGGCAGGTTCATCAGGCAATCAGCGTACATAAAGAGGCGACACCAAACCACCCTCCTAGAATGCCACAAACAAATAGCGATAAACAAAGCCCAAAACAAGAATGCTCCCACGGCAGCCCTAGCAGACAAATTAAGAGGTCTGTATCAGGACCTTACTGAGCTCAACGCCCAAAAGACCCAATACTTTCTACATAGACTACGAGCCACCACATACCGCCACAGTGGCAAGGCATCTAAATACTTGGCCAATAGACTCAGAACTAAGCAGGCCGCCAATAGAATCCCACACCTTATAGGGCACACAGGAGACAAACTCATGAACCCCATGGACATAGTGCAGGAATGTGCACACTTTTACAAACAGCTATATAATCTAGACTCAAGTGGTGGTGCAACACAATCTATTTGCAGTTATTTACAGGGTATTGAACTCCCCAAATTAGACCAAAACTCAGTGAGCGCCTTACTCGAACCGATCTCCATACAGGAGATCCGGACGGTAATTAAGAATCTGCCCTCGGGCAAATCCCCGGGCGCAGATGGTTTCTCAAAGAGAAAGAGATGGTTTCTCAAAGAGAAGAGAAATCCCTCCCCCCTGAAATGCTGGTGGCCACAATAGTAACGCTCCCGAAACCAGATAAGCCTACAGACAAAAAATGTTAGACCTATCTCCCTCCTTAATACAGACGCGAAGATATACGCTAAGATATTGGCCAACAGACTGGCACACATCCTCCCAACTATCATAGGAGACGACCAAACAGGCTTCATCAAGAGCAGGCAGGGTAGGGACAATACTAGAAAACTTTCCTTGGTGCTGGAAAAACTGAGGGGATCGGGACAGGGTGGGCTTTTACTAGCCCTAGACGCCGAAAAGGCGTTTGACCGATTGAATTGGTCATTTTTCGAACACACACTTCTAAAATACGACATCCCCACCGAATTTATCAAACAGATATTTGCCCTGTACGTGGGCCCCACGGCCCCAGTGCTACAAGATGTCTTCCTCTCAGACCCGTTCCCCCTGACAAATGGTACGAGGCAGGGATGCCCTTTATCGCCAATATTATACGTCCTGGCCTTAGAACCACTACTAGTCCAAATTAGGAATCAGGAGGGTATCAAAGGAATAGAGCTACACAGCAGGGAAATTAAAATTAGTGCATTTGCAGACGACATCCTCCTCTGTGTCACCAAACCTGAACAGTCGACCCCACTCATTTTAGATCTCATCAGGGAATATGGGAAGATGTCTTATTACTCTCTCAATGCCAGCAAGACACAGGCGTTGGGAGTGCGGCTTAACCAACAAACCCTGACTGCCCTCAAAGAGAACCACCTTTTTGAGTGGAGAACAGATACAATAAAGTATCTAGGACTGACCTTCACTAAAAACCCTACAGAGACCTTCTCGGCCAACTATGTTAAGGTGTGGGGAAACTGCCGTCAATTGATGAAGAAATGGGGCACAATGTTTCTGACCTGGACAGAGAGAGTAGCAACCATCAAAATGTCCATACTCCCTAGGCTCCAATACTTATTTCGCAACCTACCGATCCCGGTACCCGCATCCTACCTCAGAGAAACACAAAAGGACATTAATAGATTTGTGTGGGGGGGTCAAAAGGCCCGGGTAAAGGGAACACTGCTACGAGCACCAGCGAGACAGGGTGGCCTAGCCTTACTGGACATTAAGACATACTACCAAGCAGCAATGCTGGCAGCACTTCTTCCCCATTTCACAAACACAACTATACCGCAGTGGGTGCAATTAGAAAAACTAGCGATTAAGCCCTTTGACGTACCCACCCTACTGTGGCTTCCAAATCGGTTTAGACCAGAAGTGCCACAGATGCCAACACAGATAAAAACAGCAATAAACACTTGGGACAAGATCCGACACAAACTAACATCCCACACTCTACTATCACCGGCCACCCCGCTCAACACTATCACGTATTGTATCCCAACCTTCAATGCAAAGCCTTGGATAACAAATGGGGTCACACACCTGTACCAAATGCTCATACATAACAAACTCAAAACTTTCCCAGACCTACCTGACGAATATCGTGTACCGGTGGCCTCTCAATTCTCCCATATGCAACTTAGCTCGTTTCTACACAAACACACAGACAAATCTTCCACTTCAGAGGACAGTCTATCCATTATGACAAAATGGGAACAGACGACCACCACAGGTTCATGGGCACCAACATTTAAGCCATTGTCTTGGTGCTATCAGCTTCTCTGACCCACACAACACTTTGCAGACCCCAACCCAGTCAAACACTGGACACAGGACCTATAATGCCACATAAGTAAAGACCAATGGGAACGCGCTATAGTAGCAACCAAAAAACTAATCAAATCAGAAACCCTCCTGGAACAATATAGGAAAACTCTATACAGGTGGTATATGGTACCAACTCGCTTACAGAAGCTGTACCCAGGCTCGTCTCCGGCGGGCTGGAGATGTGGCACAAATGAGGGAACAGTACTCCACATCTGGTGGCAATGCGATCAGGTGACCGGCTTCTGGCAAGACATTGGCCGCCTGCTCCGAAGCACTACACAAGTCAAGCTCCTCTACACACCCCTAGCGTACTTGCTACTACACATGCCAGACAACACACCTAAAGAGGTACAAAAACTAACATTCCACATCCTCTTGACAGCCCAGAGGCTAGACTATGGAAAAAGCGTAGACCCCCACAAGTGACAGAGGTTTGCAGGGATGTTGACATACAACAATTATATGAATCCCGCTATTGAGGGGTTCTCCCCCTGACCGACACGGCCATGAAAGCATGGAGACTATGGGACGCAGGAACTACGGGAGATTCCCGACAACCAAGCCACTAGACAGGACAAGGTCCTAGGGCCAACCACTAGGTACAGGCAGAAGGACGAGGGAAAGGGAACAAGATAGAGACAGAACCGAAAGAATAGGCAAAATTGAGAGTTGTAGAAGGATAAAGAATGTGTGCGGATATATGATAAGATGCAACCAATGTATCCTAGCAAATGTGACTGTACAGCTTAATGTAAAAAGTCTGATATGGACCCCCTCTCCCCCCACTTCTATTCTGTAACCCTCCCCCCCCCCACCAGTTTTATGCTTTATGTTTGATATTTATGTTTATGACATTTGAATGACAAAAATTTATAAAAGACTTTAAATGGAAAAATACTATTAGCGCTGCACTTTAACTTTTGTGTTTAGGTGGTGGGGTTGATCACCTAAACATTAAGTTTTGTTGTTTTTTTTATAGTGTGGTGAGCGCAGAGTTTGAATAGTGAATGTGGTGTATTTGTAGTGAATGCAGAGTGCGTATAGTGAATATAGTGTGTTTGTAGTGAGTGCAGTGGGTTTAGGGAATGTAGTGTGTGTGTGTGTGTAGTGCAGAGTGTGTTTAGTGAATGTAGTGTGTGTGTGTAGTGCAGAATGTGTGCTTGTAAGGATGCAGTGTGTGTAAAATAGGGGGGAAGTATTTTTCTTTATTTATTTGTGTATATTTTTATTTTATTCCCCCCTCCCTGCTGTTTACCTTGCCAGGGAGGAGGGAGATCGCATTGTGGAGGGAGCCAGCCAAAGTAAATTGCAGAGGGGCGCCAAGCAGCACACACACTGTCTTCCGTTTTCAGCTCCTCTCTGATTAACTCTCACAAGACCAGCCTGCGTGCTGTGCGGAGCGTTGCCATGGTAAGAAGGATAGAGTGTGTTGCTGGCCCCACCTCTGCAATTTACAGGTAGTAGGGGGCTCGCAGTGCACATATATATAGCAACAATCGCTATATATATGTGCATATAATTAATGCGGGGCTCAGACTGCCAGAGCAGCCCGGGCCCCCCAGGATTGCCGGGCCCTTGACAACCGTTATGGTTGTCATGCCCTGATGGTGGCCCTGCTTGCAGGTTTCTTCACTAATCTGTGATATCTTGGGAGTTCACTAGAGAATTGCATAGCTGACTTTTTTAAATTCAGGCTATTTTAACCTAAATGTGGAATTCCATTGTGATTTCCTAACAATCCCTCGTTTAGTATATAACCCTGATTCTATATAGGAACACGGCTGAATGTTTAAATGGATGAAATATCTAGACCTAAAGTGCTTGTTAAAGATTCTAAAGGGAATGATAAATTAGAAACAATAAGATGATGAGTCACATAGGTTATTTGAATTGCAAATTTAATATCCAAAGAGAATGAACTCACTATTTTAAATAATCGTTTGTCGAGCTGTCTATCTTTATCTGTATGTTGTATATCATAATTTAATTGTTCACTATGCATACATTGTAATGTGTTAATACAAAGCTGCATCCACTTTAATAAGGAGGTTTTTCTATATTCTGTAGAAATTATATTTTATTCTTATTTATTTTTTTGGAAACATGTTCACTACAGTTTGCTCTAACAGTCTGTATTTGGTGTCACAAACAGCTAGCTGTATTACTAGATTAGAAATCCTTGCATTAAGTTATCACTGTTAAAGAAAACATAATTGCATTGATTGATCCTGCCCTAAATCAACTAAAAATGAATTGCATAATTTGAAAGGCCTGTAGATGGAACAATTGTATGCTGGTTAAATTAAAAGAAATGCATATGAGTCGTGTGGGTAAACTTGGAGTTGTGGCTATTCCATTCATAGTATTAATACATATACATAAAATTAAGCCCTGTGGTCAAACTCCCACTACTTCTGCACGGTAGCACTGACCACAGTATACATCAGCCTCAATACATGCAAAAAAAAACAAAAAAACAGAACAAAAAACAGTTACTTGCGCACTATGCCAAATCCCTATGCACATCTAAACAACTATTGTTTTTTTAGTATCACTCCAATGGCCACCAAAGTGCAAGCTCACCTGCAACATCAAGGCAAAACCTCCTGGGTTCCACACTAACAATTCACCCTGCCTTCTTAAGCTGAAAAGCAAACTCTCCAATGAGACAGAGGGGGATAACTTTTCCGAACCTCTACACACCTATCAACCCATAATATGCACATGGGGTGGGCATCAGCAGGGCCATGGAGCAGGGGGCGCAATGTGGCGGGTTACAGGAGGGCAGGGGAGCTAAAACAGGTACCCAGGTGGAGGATTTCATTATTCTCAACACTGGACTAATATAAAAATAGCATGACAGCGGGGGCGGGGCTTACCGACAATTGGAGGAGGAGCTTGTGAGTGGCGGAGGCAGGGTTAACTGACTGCAGGAAGGAGTCCCTGCTTCCCCAACAACTAGACTACAGCTGCACCGCCTCCACTCCTCCCTTCAAACCATAATGGAAAGAGGCAAGTGTGTGTGTATGTGTGACTGCCTGTGTGTGTGACTGTTTGTAACTGTGTGTGACTGTATGCCTGTATGTGACTGTAGCTGTGGCTGTAGCTGTATGTGTGACTGTCTACCTTTAACTGAGTGTGTGTGTGTGTGTGCGCCCCTATTTGTGTGCGTGAGTGTCTGCCTGCCTGTAACCGAGTGTGTG